CGCCTCTACCCTCGTGTGCCTTCGGCAGCTCAGGGGCGACGCTCGACCGCGAGGCCCTCGGCCNCGCGCTCGTCGCCCTCGAGGCCGGCCCGCGCCAACGCTGTGCGCGCTCGTCGCGAGCGGTGGGAGCTCTGCTCGCCCTGCGCCACCGACGTGTCGATCGAAAGGTCTGGGCTCGCGGTGCGGCTGGCCCGGGGCGTGGTTCGGTTCGACTCGGGCTGGAGCAGCCGGCGCGAGGAGGAGGATCGAAGAGCACCCTCGCGTGACTCGATTCCGCCGCTGCCGCCGCGGCCGCGGCCGCGTTCCGAGGTGACGGCAGTGAGGTGGGTGAGGTTCTCGAGGCTGCTGGCTCGCGAAAATGAGCGGCCCTTGCCATCAAACGACGCGACCGACGACGCCCGCGATCGATCTTGGCCCAGCTCTGCTGCTCGGCTGTGTGAGCGGCTGTAGCCTGGACGCCGCCGCGACGACACCTTGCGCGGGAAGCGCACCACGATGTAGAAGCGCAGGCAGTCGATGTCTCCCGGCTTCCCGCTGGGGCCTCCGGAACCGGAGGGCGATGCGGCTTCGGCGGCATTCTGGCCGGATGAGCGTGGCATGTTGCCGTTGCCCGTGCGCGGTCTGGACGCGGCGCGGACCGCGTCGTCGGGCCTCGACGGCGTCGACAGCGTGCGGCGACCGGCCGGGCGCTTGCCCCAGCTCAGAGCGCTCATGATGGTCTGCACCAGCGAGGGCTGCGCGTCGGCAGCCTCGTCGGCGGGCTCCTCGACCAGCTCGAGCACGCACTCAAAGATGTGGACGTGCACAAAGGGGTCGCGCTCCGGACGCTCGGCCTGCACGGGGAACGGCGTCGTCGGCGACAGGCTCGGCAGCGGTGGCGGGGTCGGCGAGTCGCCACTGCCCAGGGTCTCGGGGCGCGCTGGGCCGCCCGTGGCCGAGGACGGCTGGAGACCGGACAGGGCGCGCTCGTGAAGGTCTGCCAGCTGGTCCTCCCACGGTCCGGGCGTCGAGGGCGTCGACTGGATCCCCGCCCAATGGCTCGTGTCGGGCCAGCCGTGGTACAGGATGCCGGCGCAGCGGAGGCAGTACTTGACGAATGACAGCACCCTCTGCGGCGGCTGGCGGTCGCGGTTGCTCAGGATCAGCGTCGGTGCCGGCGAAGCATGGAGGGCGGCGGCCGTGGGGGGCGTTGCTGTCACCGCCGACGGGCCCGCCGAGGATCGCTCCGACAATGGCGACGGCGATGGGGCGCGGGAGCCGGCCGGGGACGCGAGGCACGAGGCGATCGGCGTGCCTCCCGAGGGCAGGACGGGCTGCTTGAGGGCGGCCTCTGCGGCGGCGCCGACGACGAGAGGCAGCTTCATGGTGTGCTGCGGCGCGGTGGGTATAAAGGTGGTG